CAAAGACAACTGAGTGCCAGACGGGTACTGAAAGTGTTAACAGATGAACAAAAGCAGAAACGCATGGCTTCGGCTCAAAAATGTTTGCAGCGCTATAAAAATGAAGAAGATGAAGGAAACTGTTGATCATCTGCCCTACAACCCTGATCTGTTGCCAAGTGATTACCATCTTTTCATGCACCTAAAGAAGTGGCTGGCATCCCAGCAGGAGTGAATGAATGGTTCACGACACTGGCGGCAGACTTCTATGATACTGGAGTTAAGAACCTGGTGCCACGATACTAAAAATATGTTGAGAAATAATGTAAATAGGTGGTCAACTTTTAGCTGCAGTAAATCATTTTTATATACGATAGGTTCTACTAAATTTCTTATTAGACCTTACTTAAAAAAACGTGCCTAGTAAAAAACCGTGGAGTGGTGAAGGTGGAACAGTTAATGATCCTGTGCTACCGTTCCCGAAACTTGGGGAACATCTTTCCGTATAGTGACAGAACGGTCAGAGAGATTGAAACAAGAATCCACAAAGCCAATAATGTCTCGTATCAACTGACCTCACATTTTAAACACCGGGCTATCTCAATAGAGATAAAAAAGACAAATAAATGCAGTCTTCATAACAGCCGTGTATTATCAGTGACAGCCTTGGACATCGACGCAAGAACACGAAGGAAAACTAACCACGTGCGAAATTAAATGTGTGAGAAAGGCCGTAAACAAAACTTGAGGAGGTTATGTGGGAATCGCAGAAATTAAAAGAACTGTTGGAACAACTCCAATAATTACCTTCATTGAAAAAAAAAAAAAAAAGACTGAAGTGATGTTTCCAATAAATCAGAATGAATCTTGTTCCGGAGACTGTTCGAAAGAAATCAAAAAGAGGATGGCCATAGCAAAACAAATATTAAACAACATTACAAGTGTATGGTTAAGCACCAGCAAAAAGTAAACGTAAAGGATCTTTTTCCACGCCTTTTAGGCGTATTTGGGTAAATAGGGATAGACCTATATTTTATAGACCAACGGCACAAGACGCGCAATGTGGTCAGCATCACGAAGGTCGCCTTTACTTCCCAGGACTGCCCCGGGTACCCATTCAAGGCTGGGTGGAACTGGGAGCCAAGGTCATTTTTGAAAAAAGTCCAATCAGCAGGCGAGCGTCTAGCCGCTACGCCACGGCGACTTCCAAGCACCAGCAAGGAAATCACAATTAACATTTTGGAAGCATGCATCTTTTTTAAAGACTAAAAAAAAAGGGGGAAGATTTGCTAATAAACAGCATCTTGTCTCGGAAGTTGAAATATGTTGGTCACGTCAAGCGCCGTGGCAGATTTAAAAAACAACTATCAGAAGGCCTGGTGCCAGGAAAGAGGGACAGGGACCGTTCATCTCGAAGATAGGCACAAGAAATAAGTGACTGCTCAAATATAAGGCGGAAGAGCTGCCCAAAGACCAAGTTTTTTTTTTTTTTCAGGGAGACCGTGATAAGAGCAACGTTCTGCAAAGGATCTGTTACACGATGATGATAAATATAATTATAAGAGTAATATATGAAAGTATAAATACTAAGAGATAGGGGCGACCAAGAAGAAAATGGATCGAAGGAGTGACAGATATCTTGAGACTCCACAACATCACAGCATACTGGGCAACCGAGCATGCAGTAGCTCGAAAACCGATGATCTGTTAACCCGTGACGCCTATCGATACAAAGCAGAAAATAGACAAAAGAATACTGTAAAAGTAATACAGCAAAAGTACAGTAAATGTCTTTTGTCCACGACTTTAGGGGTATTGGTAGAACTAGACTTATATTTGTATAGACCAATCGGCACAAGATGGGTGATGTGGTCAGCATCACGCCAGCCGCCTTTACAACCCAGGACTGCACTTGGTACCCATTCAAGACTGAGTTGACCTGGGAGTCAAGGACGCGAAACCACGACATTTTTTTTTTTTTTATCTGCAGGCGGACGTCTAACGGCAAACGCCACGGCGCCTCTCTAAGAAGACTGTAAGATCGCATATTCCCTTCGCCTACCTGTGTCAAAGTGAGAACAGCGATATTGCCACTGTAGGATGTTGTAGCGTGACCCGCTCCGACTGTAGCAGACAAAACACTCCCGATCCCTTCTATGAGGATTCCTCTAGAAATAGCGTGGTCAGGGATCAGTGGAGTTTGACAGACCTTCTGGGCAGCATAGTAGTCCCCGACTGACTCGATCATTGATGAGAAACAGGCGACCAGAAAACCCAGAGTCAGCGCAACGCTGACTTTTGGTGCCCCAAACTGACCTATGGTGAAATAAGAGCACATATAATAGAGAAATAATGTGTTATTATTGTAATAATATTATTTAGTAGCAGCAGCAGTAGTAGTTTTTCTTATTGTTGCTTTTACTGTTGTTGTTGCTGTTGATGTTAGTGCTGTTGTAGTAGCGATTTCGTACACATGAGAGCGACGTTCTGCAAAGGACCTGCTACATGATGATAATGAGGAAGTTAAGTTTTAGTGCTGTAGATGTCTGATCTCCAGACACTCTGAAGTCTGTTATAAGCCGGATTTGCTTTTGGGATTATCTTCTTGATTTTAACTACTACGATTTCAAACATGCATTATCTATTACCATAGGTTGTTTTTTTTCCCCCTTCACTTTGAGGGTTTATTTCCAGCAGTCTTGTTTTACAGACGTTGATTCTTAACACTGTTTTGATATTTCTGTGATCTTATCTGTCTTTTGCTGCAGATGTTCTTTACTTTAACTGGTTACACAGATTTTATCTGCATGTCACATATCACTCCTGTCGCGTGCCTAATGTAAGGATTTCTCCTTCAGAACCAGCAGCACTCAGAAATAATTATGTTGAGTCGTTTGGCTCGTATTGGTCTAAGGGATTCCCCGTGGCCAATATACGCTCAACTTATCTCTGGAGTAGGGCAACTCAAGTATTGGCACTACAAAATATGTCTGTATATGAATACAATATTCCTAGGCACACTTGGCTGGTCACCCCCACTACTTACTAAAGAAAGCCCCCAGGTTATGATAAGTCATTATCATAACCATGTTAACACATATAGCTAAGATTCATACACACACAAGTGCTACACATTTAAAAAAAGGTGAAATAGAGAAACCTAAGTCAGCCATGAAAATGAATGCATGTAATCATTACAACATGTACAAAATAGAAAATAGTGAAGTAGATGTCAAAACACAACAGCTGGATTCCAGAATACAATGACTATAATCAACCAAAGTTAAACAGTCAGAAAGTCTTGGAGGAAGCATATGTTCATCCTTGGAATCCAGTGGAGCTGTGGGGAATATAGCATAATCGAGACATAAACTTCACTTATCCCAGTTCCACTGTTGATGCCTCACTCAGCTCCGGGTGAATCGACTGTCTTTGACCCTGGTACTTCTGCTCAATTGGATCAGGTAATGGAAGAGTACCTCACCATAGAGGACGCAGCAACTGGATAGGCACACAGCACCTTGATAGGCACACAGCAACTGGATAGGCCCACAGCAACTGGATAGGCACACAGCAACTGGATAGGCACACAGCAACTGGATAGGCACACAGCACCTTCTCCCACGTGTAACTCACAGCACGGTCCCTGAGCTACACACATGCTCTGGCACTGGATGATGTTTGGTTTATATTGTACCCCATCTTGAGGAGGACAGTCTTCTCAATTGGTAGTTGGGTGATAATAAGTAGGTGATGGGTTAATTGATTGATGGGTTATGGTTTTTGGTTGGTGGGTGTTGGTTGGACTGTGAATCTTCTGCCAGCTCCTCACAAAGGATTCATCCCAAGCATATGAAAGGTCCGAGACATTCCAGATCGCCTTTTTCAAATGAATTATACAGGCATCGATTGACACGTCTGGACGCTAGGAAGCCGGCAAGAGAGAATCCGCCAATTACGCACTTCATGCGTTGGTAAAAAAGGAGTTCCTAGTATTCATGGGCAAGGAGTAAATCGGTTTCTAAGAAACCTCAAATAACTCCTCTAATATATATCCAATATATATACATTTAAAAGTGGAGTTTAGTCAAAGCAACAAGAAAATGTAGACATAATAATGTTGTCCAATAAAGGCATATATGTATAGATATAAGGGACTATATCTTTCCGGACGAGTCCAAGTTTGAATTTTGTGCCGATTACAGGTAGGTCAAGTTACCAGTCTTACGGACTGATGCGTAATGGCTTATCATTCCACGACACTGCAAAGTCAAAATGTTCAAGATGTTCGAAAAGGTTCTACTGAAGGCCTGTCCGTTAGCATGTGGTTGCTTTCTTCGTAACATAATCTATCACTTTGAGAAACATGGAAGGTGACATAATGCACCCTTGTCAAACTCCTTATCTTACCTTTTAAGTATTATGTTTCTATTAGTCCTACTTTCACTTTATATTGGTATCCTTCATAAAGTTCTATAAATATGTTTATAACTTTTTCTGGTAACCCATATGCAGCAACTATCCACCACCACACCATTTTTCTATCTAGACTTTCAAAGGCCTTTTCAAAATCAATAAAGTGTATATACAATGTGACATTTTGAAGCTGGTTCTACAATATTTCTGTTTGCGTGCTGATTTGGGAGCGTGTAATAGGGTGTGATAGTACAGAGTAGTATGATAGTATTTTCCTGGAGTTCAAGGGAATGTCCCGTGATGATTGTAAACATTGGCCCGGGTAGTGAGGTTGAGACAATGTTGGGATCAGTGAGAAGTGTAGTGTCCCGTAAAAGTAGATGCGTTTGTTCACGGTGGAGGCTAACAAGCATGGCTAACGAGAAGCACAGAGAAAGTATGAATTATGTGACAGCGTAATTCTCATCTAACATCAGCCACCCACATAAGCAGGATTCTCGAGAACGCCCACATGAGCGTGCCTCTCGTGTAACATGAGACGCCCACATGGGTTCGGCAGGGATATATTGGGGCTGCGTAGACAGTCCGAGTAAGTGAACTGTAGCCAGAGAGCTAAAGCTCCGGAGAAGTGGGGTGTAGTTCACACCGAGCACGTGAGTGCTGTATGTTAGAGAGAGAGAGAGAGAGAGAGAGAGAGAGAGAGAGAGAGAGAGAGAGAGAGAGAGAGAGACCAAGTCAGGGTCAGAGTCAGTATATCTTGAGTGAGACAGACAGAGTACTGTGCAACTATCAGGCAGCAAGGTCTGAGTAAGGATTGTGGTAAGCCACTGAAGAACGAGGAACCTCTGAAACCGCCAACAGTTTGAGGGCCACCATTTACAGAACGAGAAGCCTAGCTCATACAATAGTTGGTGTCCAACCTTACAGAACAAGGACAAGGAACACCTCGCATACAAGACATTAGTCAGCAGTCGCCAACAGTTTGGGGCGCTAAGACTGCAGTGCAGAACAGTTCCGTTCAAACCCAACAGTTGGAAACCATCGACACATTAGAGAGATTGCCAGAATATGTCATTAATCCTACGTTGAACTGTCATTGTTAACCTATTTGTCATCGTCAAGAAACACAGATCACCAAGTCACCAGCCACATAGAACCGGAGCTGAAGCCGTGTTACCCAGAAGCTGAACCAGAGATGGAAGCTGTGCTTTGGACTGAGTGATTTGCCGAAGCTGCCTTTTGTGTGTATGTCATCTTTCACTTGTCGCCTCATCGTCCAACATTAACAGGTTTGTAATTGTAAATTGTGTAATGTTTTATTGCAATATTTACATTGCTGTGGCCATGTTATATGTTTGGTACGTCTGAGATGTCATCTACGTGGTGTGCTTGTTAGGTGGGAGGTTGGGAGAAGCGCTTTTAATTAGGTAACATTTTGTATGATGCATAATTTAGGAGCTGTCTTTTAGTTATTTCTGCTTATTATTTTTAATGATTTGATTTGATTCAAGAACCGACATCACAGCACTCGGAGCATTCCCAAAAGCGCTCCGTCCCCATCTTCAGCAGCCAGCGAAGAGTTCCGATACTAATGTCTTGCCTTTCCTCTGAGCCTCGAGCATCTGCCAGAACCTCTCGTCACTCCCAACTGCATCAGTCTCACCACACTGGTGATCAATCTGCTCCTCCTAACTGTACAAGCTCTCCCACAAGGCACTAACCACGTCTGCCTTATCATGCATCAGTATTCCACCAAGTTGTGTAGAGTCAGCCAGTCTGTCCGCCTGTTCATTTCACAACACACCGGCATGCCCTGGTAAAAAAATCCAGACAATACTCCTCATCTGTGTCTTCCGCAGCGAGGCATACCACTCTGCAAGAAGCATGCCTGTCCTGATCTTCATCAGCATGCTTTCTGAGTCAGTTACAATCACAATGTGTGTGGGTGTCGTATTCTCTAGCTAGCGGAAAGCAGCAGTGACTGCTGGATGTTGTGGTATTATATGCTAGGCTCTCCTGCACCAAACGTGGACCAATAACTTTTGCTAAGAAACCCCAAGCGCTTACTTCTTTTGCCTCTTGACACTGAACCGTCTGTGTAAATGATCAAATCTTCTGAGCGAGCATTATCTTGAATTAATTGCTGAATTCCCACCTCTGTGGCACCTGCTGGCCAGTATCTGCATTCTCGGCTCAGTGTGATTATGACCCTACACAAGTCTGACTGTTCAGTTGGCACTTTGACCCACTCTTCTCCTCGCCTAATGGTTTCAAGGATGCAAACCTGTCTGATTGTGTCTTCTGCCTGAGCCATCCATGACATCCCTCTATCAGCCGCTGACCCTTAGCTGCACCCAGAGCTTCGTGCAGAGGGTGGTCAGTGTCTGCAGCTACCCTGAGATATGACTTCACCTGTAGCACCTTGAGCCTACCTGCAACAGTCGGCAAACCAAGGATGTATCGCATACACACCACTGGGGTGTCTCTGGTGCAAACCAGAATGACCCGCATTGCTGCGTTCTGTGTGCGCTCTAGTTTGTCCATCTGAGACGGTAAGCAATCCCAGGCCATAATCGATCAATGACAGGATCAGGTGCTGATATAGTATGAAAAGCATCTCTGCTGTATGTCAATTGCAGCCATAGTCTTAAGTGCACCAAGTCCTTTTTAGCATCATGTCACAACACTCTCCACATGGTCCTTAAAGGACAGGCTCCTGTCAAATGTAATTCCCAGATACTTCAGTTGGCTCTCTTTGTTGATGTTTCTACCATCTATCGTGAGACTTATTTAGCTTTAACGATCCTGTTGTCCAGAGAACACCACAAAACAGACGCCTTTTCCGGGATGGCGACATCTCTCATTTCTGTTCACCACTCAGTCACTTTGTCAACTGTCGCTTGTAGCTCTCGGGCTGTTTATTTCCTCTCTTCCCCCTGCCTATATGCAAGAATATCATCCGCAAAAATCAGTATCCCTCCAACTCCTGGTGCTTCTAGGCTTGCAATCTTGCTCGTATACACGTTAAAGAGCACAGGCGAGATAGCGGATCCATGTGGCAGTCCTGGGGCGAAACTGTATTGTTCTGAGGTCCATGAACCTAGTCGAAGAGCAACTCGACGTGAATACAGGACAGCTGCAATCCAATTCAATATCCATGGACTGACCTCCTTCTCCTTCAGTGCAGTCATCAAGATGTCCTATCTTACTCTGTTATAAGCATCCTCGAGATCCAGTCCTACCGCCATAGTTTCCTGTCTGTTCTAGGACGCTTCATAGACGTCAAAAGCAAAATTATTATTTGTATAGACCGAAATTTCTAGGTGTCTGCGTCAAATGGCGTTAATAGTCCTGTACGTACGGTTTGTTATCGTATGTGATAATCCGTTGTGCTTTCGGTCCATTTTCTTAAGTGTACCGTCATACATAGCTTGTTTTTTCGTTGTTTTGGTTTTCGTAAAAGTTATCGCTGTTGTAGAGCCGTATAGTGTCGTTTATTTGTTTCCATCCCATTGGCATCATTATCGGTCAAAATGTAATTTGCTGAGTTTGTCAGCATAGCTAAGGAGTTAGGTCTCAAGTCTGAAGAGATCATAAGCTTTGCAGAAACTAGGATGAAAGAGGTAGCAGAAAAATAAAAGCTGCTAGAGATAAGAGAGCAGCAGAGAGAACCGATCAAAAGGAGATTGCTGAATTAGAGAAAGAAGGCGAAGTTAGAGTAGCTAAAGAAAGAAAAGGGTTCAAAGTAGGGCTGTACCGAATATTCGCTTCGTATTCGCTTCGGGACCGAATAGTGGACTTAATAACTATTCGGTATTCGGCCGAATAGTTGAGGTCGGGCCGAATACGAATAGTCGTTACCTCACACCCGTTTCTGGACTGGTGGAAAATAAACATATCAAGATTTCCCACCTTGGTTCATACTGTCAAGCGTTATCTTTGTGCACCACCTACGAGCGTACCAATTGAACGACTGTTTAGTACAGCTGGAAATACATTTTGTTTTACAGCTATTGCCGCTTTCATAGATTAACTAAGCTGTCAGTGACAATTTACAAGTTTATTTACTTGTTATAAAACTAAGAATACTTTCATTCCTAGGTATTAGTTACCACAGACTGACTGACTGAAGAATGCAAAACATGAAATGCTTTTAAATGTTCACTATTCTGTACTACATTTTGTGAAGTAAAATTTCAGCATACATTTGACATTATGGATGTTTTTTTTTTTTTTTTAGATCTATTTTATACACGAAAGTGGAAGAATTGGCATCAGTTTGAATAGTGGGAAGACAGTAGTAATGATGGAATCCCAAAAAAAAAAAAAAATTGTTATTCCTAAATGTGTAATAAAAGTCAATAGTTTTATTTTGGGACGAGTACAGATATTTAAGTATTTGGGCACATGGATAACATCAGATGGAAGATGCATTACTGAGATAAGAAATGGAGGCGGAGCCCGAATACTACTACTCACAGACATCAGGAGACAGTCATAATTTTTCAGCCATGTTATAAGATGACGGAAAATTGAACATGTGGTGACCACTAGAAAGATATGTGGAAGGAGGGATAAAAAAAGACAACGAGAGAAGATTCTTGACAGTCTTGTTGCATGGAGGTGTGTCAGCACACGAGCTAATACATGCTGCAGGAGATCGCAGATTGTGGCGAGGCATAATCGCCCATGCCAGTCGGTAAAGTACCTGATGATGATGATGATTCACTATTCGTATTCGTATTCGGCCGAATGGTTGGTCCAGTTATTCGTATTCGGCCGAATAGTGAAAATCACTATTAGGTACAGCCCTAGTTCAAACCACTCAAGCGAAAATGTTGGAAGGCATAAACCAAAATTAACCTTTTTAAAACCAGAGAATAAATTACATTCTGAAATTAAAAGATTGAAGAAGTACATAGGTGTGTAGGTACTGCTGAATTTATTAGCAGGGAAAACAAAATATATATATTATTCTTTTACCAGTCAATTGCTTTTTTCTATTCTTATTAAACAGAACCAGTCGCAAAGTGGGATTTATATACAACTCGATAAATCGCCAATCTGTCTGGAAAAAAAAGGTAATTTGAATTACTGTCGCACAAAAGTAGTTAGTAGTACATTAATTGATACTTGTTGATAGCAGCGAGAAGAACAATGTGATCTCCCACGCCAGTAGAAACTATTGCTACTGATAATAACAGGAATGTGATAATGGTGATGTTGATGATGGTTATGATAATGATGTTATTGATGATAATGATGATGATGCTGATGATGAATATGACGACAACGCCGTCGATTATTAAAAGTAAAGATCAAATTACCAGGGTAGGTTAACTGAAACCATCTAGAGGTAGAGATGATATTGGCCTTAGCATCAGCCCTGGCCATGTAAGTGATGTCAGACTTGTCATCAGTAAACACGCCGCAAACGGTGAGGATCCACGTGAGAATCCAGATTATCAGCACGGCTAAGAGTATCTGTGGACAGTTGAATCAATATGGATACACAGTATCTTGCAGAGGCTGGGCGTGATCAGTCAGCACGTGTAAGCGCTGGCAGGTAATGATCACGCTGGAAAAGGTATCATGTTATATTTTCTATCTCATCGTTTCGCTGTGTGAGCATGCGTGCGCATCTAACAACGTCGTATTGGCAGCTGGTAGCTAATAGTTTATGCATTAATGGTTAAGTATGCAGCGAGAGTTATTTTCGCTGTTTTCGAGACGTAAACTGAGTGGGATCATTGTAATAAGTAGCAAACAGTAATAATAAATAATAAACTTATTCACTTTTCTATTATAATGGAAAGCGTAAGCAGCGATTGTCTGCACGTCTTGCCACTCATATCTTGTCTGATATAGGTGATTATCATGAACGACACATACACAAATGCAAGTACCATCCCATTTTGGCATACCCGAGAATTAAAGAGCAGATACACTGTATCAGATAGTATATCACCTACCAGAGCAGTCAATTAATTACAATGAAAAGAAGATCCTTATCAAGATTACTAGAAAACGAACGTAAATGGGGTCGTCTATTCTACTTCGACTACACAATAATTAGGGCGCAATTGTTACTTACTGGCAATAGCTGGAAAATGGCAAACTTCTGCCGCGGCTTCTTCTTGCTCTCTTTGCCGAATCTTGGCAGAGGAATGGCGACATTCTTGAGGTAGAGGACAAATACCAATACCAGGACCATGCAGCTGTCAACAAAACATCACATTTGTTTGCTCACAGAATAAGGACGCATGATATTACCATATTCTTCTGCCGTTGACTATCTACTAAAGTAGGCGCTCTCAACTAACTGTTGCCAATATCTTTTATTTAGATAGTAAGTCGAGCGATCATGCTCATCCCACATCAGACAAGTCTATATGTGCTTGAATACCCTCTTAAGTGTCTTTCTCTCCTGATAGAATGCTCGCCGGTGCTACAGAGCCTGTGCACTGTGCTGAGCTTCTTCGGACTCAGACTTGATTTATAAGAAGAACAAAGCACTTATGGGTTCCTACCAGTGTGTTATGATGTTGATCAAACCTCAAACCTCTCCTGATAACACCAGTTCTGTGCGGGTTTACTATTGTACTTTGGCTATTTGTATATGTGTTTATGTCTGGCAACACTTCATTTGACATGAAGCTCTTTAAGTCTTGTCAAGGTTGCCGATTCATCACAATCTCCTGAATCACTTGCTTGTCACCACTCCATTAGACTCTGAGAAAACCAGCACGGTTCATAGTATTTCCTTCGTCTAATGTGCCCCTCGGTTGGAACGCTAGGATCTCATGCGGGAGACCCGGGTTCGAATCCTCGGTAAGACTGGGGATATTTTCTGTCGGGGGCAAAATAAAAGCCTCACATGCACAGTCGTGGCGACAGCATTAACCATGCGGCCTTAAAACCTCTGGCTCAATAGACCCCCTGCCTACACAGCAGAAGTGGTATATAACGGCAGTAATTGGCAGTGTTTTTTTTTTTTTGGCAGAGTGCCCCTGCAAGCAAGCGAATCAGCTCCTTTTTTTTTTTTTTTCTTCTAACCTCAGACTGATCTGACATGAATTAAACTGTTTCCTTTCAGATAAAATTTCCTCAAAAACTCCAAACCATTATTTTCAAACCTATCCTGTCTTGATCTTCTTAAGCATGATTATGTAATCAGTAGGGGGAAAAGCACACATTGGAAAAATTACCTCTAGTTAGGTCAAAGCCTTTGTCATTGTCTACTTCTCAGAAGTCGATTACTTGTAGTCGACGCAAAATACAGCTTCTATCTATTGCCATGAAATGCAATTCCCTCCATGCTGCTCCTATAGCATTCATCTCTGTTTTTCATCCACTTCCCTTAGTGTTCTGGGTTTCAGTATTAAAGAATTTCCGATACTGTCTATATTGATTGCTTTAATTATGCTAGCCTATTACAGCAGTTCTTTGTGGTCTCAATGTCATCCTTTTAGGTCTCGTTCTTCCTTCTAAAAGAAAACGGGGAAGAGTAAGAGAGACGCTGCGTAGAACCGTCATCAGGGAAGGTTCAACTATGGGCCTAATGAAAATCCACGACCTAAATGAGGTGGCAGCGAAAAGCCAGACATGAAGAGCTATGACCTCTGCCCTATGCGCCGCCCTTAAGAGGAAAGACTGACTAACTAACTAATGAAACAAAAAACATAGAACGACAATTAAATGCTGGACACATATGCTGTGTGTGGTGCTCGTTTTTAATGTAATCTAAAAGTTAGTAGTCGCACAACGTATACTTCCTTTGGAACGACAACGACAGTCGCCAGTCTGCATTTTGGGTAGAAATATAGTTTGAACTTTGGGAGATTTCTATAAATATAATCGGGGAAGTAACGGGGAAGGCCTCTAAACATATAATCGGATTTTTTTTTTAAATCGTTAAAACTATAAACCCGTGGTAACGCAGTGACTGATCCTCCTGCATGGAGGTCCCGTGGTCAAATATTTTGTTTTTAACTAACACAGGCTTCTAGTTTAAACCAGGCTAACAAAATCTTCAGTAACCGTGCAGTTGTGATGATAACGGTGCTTACTGCAGCGTTTGATATGTTCGTCTTGAATGTTGTCTGAGAAATGAGTGTCTACTGGACACTCTGATCAATCATGTTTGCATCATTATTTCTAGACCGTGGCGAACTGTTCTTTCTTGCGTGCAGTTTAGTTACAATGCTTTTATATTGTCGTGCTTCATTCACAACCCAGTGGTGCAGATCTTGTTAGCACACTGATATGCAATAGAGAACAGCCTCAATGGATTCGTTATGTCGACTTCCAAAATGAAGCATGCCACTGCGCACAGCATATATGTCTTCCATCAAGCTGTGAGAGTCCATTACATTCACGTCCTTTACCTGAAGTTGATTCTTCGGCCAACGAAAGGCCACAGGAACAGCGCCTACTTCCATTCTTAAACCAGAGGTTTTTTTTAGGCTTTCTGGTCTGCCTGTTTTCTCCATCTGGGCTACTACCTAATACTGCGACTACCTTCTGCACCTTTATGAGACGCATCCTAGATGGCAAACCGACAGGTTAAACCCCGTTCAACCTCCAAGGAAATTATAATTAGGCTGTTCGCGGTGGCTACATAAATCGTGTACCCTGTAGTCGTATGCGCAAAAGGAATATTGACAATTTATGTCATTGGTTTATGTAGTCATCACCATGCCGACCACCTTACCTTTCAAACAACTTTCTGATACTCATGATGTTCCTGACAGAGCCAAACATTTTTTTTTTTCAAAAATGACCTGGCTTCCAGGTCTACCCAGCCTTGAGTGGGTACCAGGTGCAGTCCTTGGAAGTAAAGACGGTCGGCTTGATACTGATCACATCACACACCGAGTGTCGATTGGTCTATAAAGTATTGATCTAACCCTATATTACCAAGACGCCTAAAGGCGTGGAAAAGGGTACTTTACTTTTTTACTATAGGATATATATGTGATCCTGAACAAAGTCCCATGTTGAAATGTTCTGATGGCTAGGACCACTAAGCTGTTTGGGTTAATAATAGTATAAAAGTTCTTGCAGAAGCCAAGCCACTTACCCAATAGCTAAAGGAAAATTAGGCCTCCCCCAAATGATAGGAAGTCGGTACAAGGATGTCCCTATGAGGGAGATAGTGCAGGCAATGGTTATGGGTCCAATATACCGCAGCAAGATTTTCAAGAGGCCAGACATTCCCATTATCACCTCGATGAGTGAAGCCAGTATCAAAGCTCCAGACATCTGTGGAAAATCGTCAGCGGTTGATTTAATAATAAAAAAAAAAATCATTTATATATAACTTTCTATGGACTAGAAACAAATGTATAGTCCGTTTACTGGTTCAACATTAAACATCATCTATAGATCCTTGGTACTTTTATCAATCAGTTCTATGTAGTGACTGGAGAAAAGATTATTTGCTGCAACAGTCCAGTATGACCCCTCGATCCAGATGCAGAGACGGTTACGTTTTGATCTAATATTTTTTTTTTTTTTTTTTTAAAGATGCAAAAGGGGGAAGGGGGTGTACACCCAGTTTTCTAGACCTGATTCCAGATATTATTGTACATATGACAAATGTCATTGTCAGCCAGTAAGGCCGCTGGAGATTTGATACATGTTGTATAAACGTATCATAAATTCCAGGCAGAAAAAAAAAAGGAAATAAGAATGTTTTGTAACAGTGTTAACACTCTCCATGTGGTGCACTGCATCCTCTAGCACAAACGTAGTCAGCTTACAGCACATTGTCTCAAAGGTAGAAGGTTAAACAATGTGGATTGGCACTCTGAATAAATATCAGTACGTAAGTAAGTGAGTTGTACCCCACCAGGACATCACACAAGCGATAAACACCCGGTGACACAAAGTGCCACCATGCGGATGAGTACCACCCGTGGAGAGGTCCAGAAAACCCCGTTCAGCCGTTTGGCCATATTTCAGGCCCGGCTATATTTAGGGCTCCCGGCAAAAGCCAAGGTGGGGCTTAAGAATAGCTAAAAATTGCATCACACAAGGGTTGACTGTTGAAATGAATGTCATTAAAATTTAGCCATAGATACGAAGTGACAACGAGAAGATTAAAGTGATTTAAGTGAATTAAGTGATTTTTTTTTTTTCAATCGAATATGAAGTTTTACTTTTAGTTACATGAGATTGTTTTGTATCGACTTTGTAAATTGTACCAAAATGTCATTTCAGAAGGTTTCCATTTTTAACAATGTCATAATAAGGAGAAACCTTAGGTACAATATAATGATAGAAAAGCTGAAGGGAAAAAGAGGCAGAGGAAGACAAGGAAGATCAGGAGAGAAGATGCTGGACATGTTGAAATGATGGCATAGAGAATCACCTGTGCCAGAACTAAATGAAAATACACGAGACAGAGAGTTGTGGATTGACATAACTACTAAGGGCACACGGCATGGACTATAAGGAAATGTAATCCTTAAGTAATTTAAAATATGCAGAATCGGCACTATTATTCCACCAGCGGGAATGCAGCTTACACATATGTAAATACCAATGTTAGTTTGCACGATCTCTCCAATGCATCGCAAACAAACTGATATATTCATTGGCTGTTGTGCGGTTTGACTGATAATTTCAAGTTCAGCAGTTTGTATACTCCTAAATGGGCCAATGCTCATAGTGTTCTTAAAATCACCTGCAACTGACTGCGAACTTTGGTATGTAAAGATTAAGAACGTGAATTTACAAATCCGCAGGCCATAAATGTCCGTAACATTGGAATAAGGTGAACTAAATTAGTTGTTTAAAGTTAAGATTATAAATGAATGTTAACAAAGAAGACACAAACAATATACAAAAGCTCATGATCTTCACCTTGCGTTTACCGTGGTGAACCAAACGGTTTTTAAACATAGTCGATTTTATGTTTCGATTTGAAGGATTTATTTATTTGCCTCACTTGAATCAATTGTTACTGTAGTATGTACCTGACGAGATACAGTAAAATATGCCAGGCAATAAATTGTGCAATCTTTTGTTTGTGTCTTGTTTTTTCAGATTCATAACGGGGAAACTTATTTTTTTTTTTTTAATGGCAACGTTAAAAGACTTTAAAAATAAAAAAATAAAAAATGTTATCATAAAGCGTTATATCTGTTGATATAAGGAGTTTGAACTTAACATATTCTAGGTCACAACTACAAGATGAGGTTGCCAGTTGTCTTCCTCGTTTTCTTTACTTCCACAAGTCCATGAAAACGTAAAATTATCTGGTTCCTATGTGTATGTTGCTCGGGGTATAACAGAGCGTTTCTGGTGGTAGAAACATACCCTACCTCCACTGGGGTTTGAATCCGGACGACTGTTTTGGTAGGTAACAGTTCTAACACATTACCAACTAAGCACGACAATTAGGGCAAGAAAGTATAATACAATAAGAAGGTAATAGAATATACACCTCTTGTATTCTCCAGTAAATGCCGTCCTCCAGTTCATTTGATGCTTCATTTGTTGAAGAGTTGGTTACCATAGTAACGTTGTCATTATTGCCGGAATCTGAAATTGTGTCAGAGTTATAAAATCGCTATTTGTAAATAAATTTAAAATAAGTAATCGAGTACTGCAGCAGTTATTTCAATTAAAGTGTGAAGTGTTGAGCCTTCAAATATGTTTGTAACCCGTTCGGTATATCATAGTTATATAAAGTTTGTTGTTTATCCTTTACATGACGTTGAAGAACCAACCGCAGCATTTATTGGCTGTTGTGGTTTTTCTAGGCACATCTAACGTTTAGTAGTTTGCCATAGCTACTGAACGGTCAGCTCTCGATACCACTGTCGAAACCAGCGTAAGACAAATCGTCCTCAGCAGGGATCGAACCCGGCAACTCGGCATTACGAAGCGCGTTCGCAACGCCTAAACCACAGACGCCGACGTGCACCATAGACCAAGAAGATAAGAAATATTGATATCCTACAAGATGTGAACACAAGCAAGACCGGCTAATACACAGCATTTTGTCATGGTAGCTGAAATGTTTTGGCTTTATCAAGCACCACAGTGAGTTGGAAAATAATAGTAGCAGAAAGTGTGGTGCCAGGAAAAGGGTTCAAGTTCTAACCAAGGCGTAGATGGGTACGAGATTTTAGTGACACCTTCAGTAAACAAAGTGCATGCGGCCGGAGAACTGACAAGGCACCGACTTTCTCCAGGCAGGCTGTAATAAGAGCGACATTCTGCAAAGGACCTGCCACAAGATGATTAACCTTTTCCGTTTCTTGTCGCATTATTTACTAAGAGATTCCCAAATAATTTAATTAAATTATTACCCATTACCATAGACTGGGTACATGCCAAAGCCCTACTGATAGAAAATAGTAACTGATTTACGTCTCGGCTGAGGATTGAACCCAGACGACTGTTTGGCAGGCTATTAAAAAATTCAACTGTGCCACATCTTCGACTCACCAACTAATAGCAGTTCCTAATAGCCTATGATCCTTCGATCGCGCTGTAAAACATGTTTGAGAAGGGTGGCCCTTAGTACTTTTGCAATTGTATCGGACTTTCTAGGGGCGGGGCTCAAAAGGATACAGGATTTGCTTAAGTGTACAATAATAAGAAAGATCATAATTATTGTGTGTGGAATGGGAAATAAGTGCAATACAGTATTTGATATATATATATATATATATATATATATATATATATATATATATATATATATATATATATATATATATATATATATATATATATATATATATAATGTATAGACAAATACTTAAAACAGAATGCCTATTCATCTTTGTATAGAAGACTTAATTCCCTTGCAACTTTCTAGGAGATAACGTCTCAGTCTCCGTAAGAAGTAACTGGAGGGGTGGGGCGGGTTGGAGAGAGATGATCATCCCCTCCCCTCATCCTTTTAAAAACTGGAAGAGAATGGTGGGTGTGGCTCTAGGTGATCTTAGGCTCTGGTGACTATGTGTACCTTAGTATTATTATACTACTGTTCTTGTGGGTCCAAGCAATTACAAAGTATTGAACTTAAAATTGCCTAATAAAACTACACCACTACCCTTATTGCTGCAGTTTGTTTTACAACATCACATAAAGGATACACAACAAACTCTGTTTTTTACAGCGCAGATTACTTTTTTTTTCTTCTTCAGTTTCTAAGTCCGCTTTTTATTTGACAGTTTTTCCCCTCGTCGTTATGAGCTATTGACACCAGTTTGTTTAGAAGTAACGTATGATCCTATGTATTTAAACTAAGGCATTTGGTTTTTTTACAGCGAGTATTATAGGGGATCCCAAAGGGAAGTAAAGAATGGTAATACAGTAATTTAACATATATGTCATAAAGGAGACTAAGAAGGGTTATCGAGTGACTGCTTGTCTACAGTACAAGAAGGTTTGTCGAGTGACTGCTAGTCTACAGTACAAGAAGGTTTGTCGAGTGACTGCTAGTCTACAGTACAAGAAGGCTTGTCCAGTGACTGCTTGTCTACATTACAAGAAGGCTTGTTGAGTGACTGCTTATCTACAGTACAAGAACGTTTGTCGAGTGACTGCTAGTCTACAGTACAAGAAGGTTTGTCCAGTGACTGCTAGTCTACAGTACAACAAGAATTGTCCAGTGACTGCTAGTCTACAGTAAAAAAAAAAGGTTTGTCCTTTGACTGCTTGTCTACAGTACAAGAAGGCTTATACAGTGACTACAGTACAAGAAGGTTTGTCGAGTGACTGCTAGTCTACAGTACAAGAAGGTTTGTCGAGTGACTGCAAGTCTACAGTACAAGAAGATTTGTCGAGTGACTGCTTGTCTACAGTAAAAGAAGGCTTGTCGAGTGACTGCTAGTCTACAGTACAAGAAGGTTTGTCGAGCTACTGCTAGTGTACAGTACAAGAAGGCTTGTCGAGTGACTGCTAGTCTACAGTACAAAAAGGTTTGTCCAGTGACTGCTTGTCTACAGTATAAGAAGGCTTGTCGAGTGACTGCTAGTCTACAGTACAAGAAGGTTTGTCCAGTGACTGCTAGTCTACAGTAAAAGAAGGTTTGTCTAGCTACTGCTAGTCTACAGTACAAGAAGGCTTGTCGAGTGACTGCTAGTCTACAGTACAAGAAGGTTTGTCCAGTGACTGCTAGTCTACAGTACAAAAAGGCTTGTCGAGTGACTGCTAGTCTACAGTACAAGAAGGTTTGTCGAGTGACTGCTAACCTACAGTTCAAGAAGGTTTGTCTAGTGACTGCTAGTCTACAGTAGATGAAGGCTTGTCGAGTGACTGCTAGTCTACAGTACAAGAAGGTTTGTCGAGTGACTGCTAATCTACAGTATAAGAAGGCTTGACGTGTCCTGCAAAGAGTATGAGATCATCATGAAAAGAAAAAGCAGAATGAGTAGAAAAAAGAATAAGCAGGATGAGGAGAAAAAGAAGAAGCAGGATGAGGAGAAAAAGAAGAAGCAGGATGAGGAGAAAAAGAAGAAGCAGGATGAGGATTAAAAAAAATAAAAATAAAAAGGGGAATTTGTCATTTTTTTAAATAGGCTGTTTTCTCTGAATTCGAAGATCATCTACGTTTGTGACTTAACCAAAAAAAAAACTAGAGGCAGACAGACAGACAGACAGACAGACAGACAGACAGACAGACAGACAGACAGACAGACAGACAGACAGACAGACAGACAGACAGACAGACAGACAGACAGACAGACAGACAGACAGACGGACAGACGGACGGACGGACGGACGGACGGACGGACCGACCGACCGACCGACCGACCGACCGACCGACCGACCGACCGACAGACAGACAGACAGACAGACAGACAGACAGACAGACAGACAGACAGACAGACAGACAGACAGACAGACAGACAGACAGACGGACGGACGGACGGACGGACGGACGGACGGACGGACGGACGGACGGACCGACGGACCGACGGACCGACCGACCGACCGACCGACCGACCGACCGACCGACCGACCGACCGACCGACCGACCGACCGACCGACCGACCGACCGACCGACCGACCGACCGACCGACCGACCGACCGACCGACAGACAGACAGACAGACAGACAGACAGACAGACAGACAGACAGACAGACAGACAGACAGACAGACTCAACAATCTCCTACCATAGCCATTTTCCTGTGCAATTACCGGACATTGCCACTTGATGTCGCGCTGTAGAGCTAATAGTGGTACCAGAAAGGACGATGACGGCCCTTGAAAGATCGGCAGTCTGTGTTATGAAAAAAAAATAGATGATTTTTTGTTTTTAAGTCCATCTACAGTATTCTAACAGAAATATGTAATGTTTTTTTTTTTTTTTTTTTTACCATTTTGATACCGAAAGTAAACGTTAGGGCTATTTTTTAAACCAGCATTAATTATACACAATATCGTAATGATTATTACACTTAATGTTTTAGATGATCGGCATCATCATCTTTTTGTGCTGTTTTACGTCATATTGTGCTTGCACAGGATTCCTTCATTTCTATCTTGCGCAATTTTTTTTAAACATAGCTATAGAGCCGCATTGCAGCCCCTCTGTTCTTAGACAATGTTTATGTTGACTAAATGACCGCCACAGACCCCTTTACCAAACATAGAATTTCTCTTATTAGGTATTTAGTTGTAAAAGATCCCTTTTCCACGCCTTGAGGCGTATCGTTTATTGTTTTTCGTTAGTCGTTTGTGGGTAGTTTGGGATTAGTTTTTTTTAGTCGTTTTTTAGTCATGTGTGGGTATTTGTCATTAGTCGTTCTGTTGACATATAGTCAAAGGTGGTAAAACTGCAGTAGCCTCAGCCCGACATATTGCAAGACTTGCTTATAGCTTAAACAACTTGGTCGTGAACGAACGGTTAAAGAAGAGATTAAATAGGTTTTCATAAATGTTTTTTTTTTTTTTTTGGTTAAGTTATTTTTCTCCAATATTGACACCCCCACCCCCTCTCTTTATTTCGTGTTCTTTCCAGCTTAAATGAGTGCACTAGTGGCTCGGAATTCGAACGCATCAAAATTTGAACAATTTTGAATCTGAAAGAAATTGTCACTTAACTCTTTGAGTCCCAAGGAACGCATCATACGTTCATAGGTTCCTACCTAGAAGCCCAATAAACGCATGATGCGCCGATTTTATTACTCTCTTTACTAGCTCCTGGGCCTGTGATGCTAAACCCCCTGGGACTCAAAGAGTTAATTAATTTTTTTCGAACTGGAACACTGCTTTGAAAACTAAACGCCTGGCCCGTGGCGATCACGAGACTGAGCTGACATCGCAAGAGCTTCAACACCTTTCCTGGCAGCGGGAGGAAGAAATTGCAGCAGAAATTTCTTCCAGTTATGTCAGGAGAAGGGGAGAAGCTAGAAGGATTAGGATGTGGTCGAAAACAAAAGAAATTGTTAAGAAGTGGCGCTCTGATATAGCCATAGTTAACATTTGAGTTGATTTATTCAATTATAACATTATCAGCACACAGGCAACCATGAACCACTTTTAAGTACAGTGAAAAGGCAAAAAATGCAATGGTAT